AGATAAAAGACAGACATTTTTGAGTATGCGTTTGGTGCAGTGATGCTATGGAAGATAACTTTTCACTAAAATGGAATTCCTATCAGAGAACTTACGATATAGTCAACAGTTAAGCAGAAATTTTAGCCTATAGCAGCGACTATACGGTCAATGACTTGCATTCCTATTGTTCTGCGTTTCTTCTCATACTACAAGAATTAAAAACAATTTTCATAAAATTGCTGTATGCTATTTACTGCTTCGGTGAAGAGTTACTATACTTGCCGAGATAAATGACAGACATTTTTGAGTATGCGTTTGGTGCAGTGATGCTATGGAAGATAACTTTTTCACTAAAATGGAATTCCTATCAGAGAACTTACGATATAGTCAACAGTTATGCAGAAATTTTTAGCCTATAGCAGCGACTATACGGTCAATGACTTGCATTCCTATTGTTCTGCGTTTCTTCTCATACTACAAGAATTAAAAACAATTTTCATAAAATTGCTGTATGCTATTTACTGCTTCGGTGAAGAGTTACTATACTTGCCGAGATAAATGACAGACATTTTTGAGTATGCTTTTGGTGCAGTGATGCTATGGAAGATAACTTTTCACTAAAATGGAATTCCTATCAGAGAACTTACGATATAGTCAACAGTTATGCAGAAATTTTAGCCTATAGCAGCGACTATACGGTCAATGACTTGCATTCCTATTGTTCTGCGTTTCTTCTCATACTACAAGAATTAAAAACAATTTTCATAAATTGCTGTATGCTATTTACTGCTTCGGTGAAGAGTTACTATACTTGCCGAGATAAATGACAGACATTTTTGAGTATGCGTTTGGTGCAGTGATGCTATGGAAGATAACTTTTCACTAAAATGGAATTCCTATCAGAGAACTTACGATATAGTCAACAGTTATGCAGAAATTTTAGCCTATAGCAGCGACTATACGGTCAATGACTTGCATTCCTATTGTTCTGCGTTTTCTTCTCATACTACAAGAATTAAAAAACAATTTTCATAAAATGCTGTATGCTATTTACTGCTTCGGTGAAGAGTTTACTACTTGCCGAGATAAATGACAGACATTTTTGAGTATGCGTTTGGTGCAGTGATGCTATGGAAGATAACTTTTCACTAAAATGGAATTCCTATCAGAGAACTTACGATATAGTCAACAGTTAAGCAGAAATTTTAGCCTATAGCAGCGACTATACGGTCAATGACTTGCATTCCTATTGTTCTGCGTTTCTTCTCATACTACAAGAATTAAAAACAATTTTCATAAAATTGCTGTATGCTATTTACTGCTTCGGTGAAGAGTTACTATACTTGCCGAGATAAATGACAGACATTTTTGAGTATGCGTTTGGTGCAGTGATGCTATGGAAGATAACTTTTCACTAAAATGGAATTCCTATCAGAGAACTTACGATATAGTCAACAGTTATGCAGAAATTTTAGCCTATAGCAGCGACTATACGGTCAATGACTTGCATTCCTATTGTTCTGCGTTTCTTCTCATACTACAAGAATTAAAAACAATTGGAGAAGAGCAAAGTTCTGTGAGAAAATTCTTTAACACAATCGTGGCAACTTAAATTTGGAATTTACGAAGCATGAAATGTATTGGCATCTACGTTAGAAACACAAAAATTTAAAAAAACTAGCATGCTGTGATTTTTGAGAAATTATAAAACCCACCAGAACAAAGCCACCAATTATCGAAAGGTTTTTGGAATGAGGGGTCAGACATGTTGGATTGTATTTGTGCTCGAAGGTTGAAGTCCCATCGCATTCATTTCCATCAGAAATCGGTAATTTTCTACAGAAATTGCAAAGGGTCAAATGTTGCACTCTTGAGAACGGTCATCCAAAATACCATGTCAATGCTCTTGGAAATTGCACCTCACGCGCCTATGAGATTTCTGCAAAGATGAAATCGAAAATACGAGCAAAGAAAGCCCAATTTCCGATTGCAATTATTGAGGTAAATTCAGCAATTTATTCCTCAAAAAAATATACGTGCGACATGCCGCAAAAGTGTCGCATCGTTCGGTTCTGACAATACCCGGGTGCTCTATCTGTCTTTAATATCAATCTAAGTTACCAATAATGGTTCCAGAAAAATGAAATTGCTTTCGGAAGTTCCGGTTGGTTGTCACCAAAATTACGCCAAATTAAATCCCAAAGAATATTTTTTTTCTTTAAAAAGTTGTTCCCCTCCACAGTGATTCGCCGAAGAAATATCACTAAGCCTTGTAATCACAATCGAACTTTGTACACTTCACCCACGAAACGACCCGTAGAAGAAAAGAAATGGTCACCTCAACCACGACCTGAAAACTCTATAATCATCATATTCTGGAATTAAAGGGGGAGGAGAAGAATTTTTAGAGCCTAACAAGCGATCCCAAGAACAAAAGAAAAGACTCTAATGGGTGAGGACGCGCTTCGGAAACCCTCCACTTCCTACTCTAATAAATATCTCTTAATGAATCACCAACGAGTAGAACAAAACCCGAAAACGTCGTGATCCACAATGACCTGAAGACGAGCAAATTACGGCTATTTCTCGCGATCGTTGACCAGCACCGGTCAGAGGTCTTGTTGGATTCCCACCACCGGGGTGTTGTTTGCTCGTGAAGTGACCAGTCCGTCCCCTCCGGTTATCAACCCCCGTTTCACTTGGATGGAAAACCTTTGGACGTCGTGAAGGTGATGTTGAGTGGTAAGGTCCCACGCGAATGAGCTCTGAAAACATCACGAAGCTGGATTGTCGTGAAGAGAGGTATTTTCACTTTTCTTTTCGCGGTTTATTAAAATTCCAGACGACACTCCGGTTCCTTGTGCGCTTTGTTCTCTCGATTTGCTGATACTTACTCTGGATAATAAAGACACTAAGGAGTTTTGGCGGGAGTTTGCGATAACGAAAGATAGTTTAGAACAGAGATTCTGAACCGGTGGTAACGCAAGAGAAAAATAAGTGGTATGCAAAGAACTAAGGTGACCAGATTTCGAAATTCAAAATTAGGGATTCTCTCTATATAAATTTTTAATTAATTTTTTTACAAAGTATTTTATTATTAATCCAAAACGCATATTATTTGGAAAAGGGAGTTTGCGTCGATTCACTTTTCAAACTGTTGCCACCAAATATTATTGCCATGCATTATATTTCAAGAAACTAAATAATGAAGAATCTGCACGAAGATTTCTCGCATTGTGAAGAAACAAAGGTACCTAGAGCCATCTAATTTTGACTAACTTAGTCCTCCAACCGAACATGGGCACTTGGAAGCCCGAATTTTTTAATTACGAATTTGTTTTATTATTTATTTAAAATTTTGCAAAATTTTAACGAATTTTTATTCACAAACTCAAGGATTTCAAAGCGAGAGATGGCAACACTGTACGGAACATTTTTATCTCCAGCGCCCGAGACTGTGTATCGGAAATTCTAAAGAAAAGCTTATTTTAAAATTATTTTGCGATATTGCTCTTGAATTGAATTTTATGTTTATGTGCGAAGAACATGATATTTAATAAATAAACGTAATTAGAAACTCAAGGATTTCAAAGTGAGGGATGGCAACATCGTACAGGAAAAAAAAAAAAAAAAAAAGTATTTTTATCTTCAGCGCGTGAGACTGTGTATCGGAAATTCTAAAGATAAGCTCATTTTAAAATTATTTTGCGATATTGCTCTTGAACTGAATTTTATGTTTATGTGCGAAGAACATGATATTTAATAAATAAACGTAACTCACAAAATGTTAGAAAAACGCCCCTTTAGACGTAATTTAAAATACGGAACTTGTAGATTTTTCTTTTTTTTTTATTTATAATGTACTCTAATTAGAATATATATTGTACTCTAATTATAAATTAAAACATGTAAATTAAAACATGTAAATACATAAAAAAGCAAATTTAAAGTTAAAATAATTAAAAAATGTGCAAACATATAAAAGATTTAATTTTCGAACTAATCTACAATATCATTTAAATTCAGATAACATAAGTAAATCAAGTGCAAAACCAAACCATGAAAATAAATTCACCAATTTAGCAAATTAAAATTAATCTAAAAAATTAATCTAAAATTTTTTTTAAAAAATGCATAATTGAATGATTGTTGAGCAGGCAGGAGACAGACTTATCAAGGGGAAGTTGCCTCCAAACCTAACTCTTCAATCATTCAATTCGTGTTTCGTCATTCATGCAGGCAAGGGTAAAAGTCAAAACCAAAAGTAAATACATAGTGAAGAACGTTAAAAAAAAGAAATACCAATAAAGGGGTACCTTGAGAAATTAGCAATTAAAAATTAAAGGTCTAAAAGGAAAATTACCAATAAGGAGTTTTTTGAAAAATAAGCAATGTAAAGTCTAGTATTAAATTAAATTTAAAAAATTAATTAAAAAATTTTAAAAATGTAAAAATTTAATTTATTAAAATTTTTAAAAAAATTTAATTTTAAGAAAAATTTAGAAACCAATGCATATTTTATACTCTAATTGTATAATTTATATATCACATTCTAAACTGAAACCATAAAACAACACGTACGAAAAAGGCGAAATGTACTACTTCATTTACGTAATTTTTAATGAAAAATAATAATAAACTATAAGGTTATATGCCAAAACACCTGATACGAAACGCACTTTATTATTCTTGCCATTTCAATGGATGTTATATATATATATAACACGGGTAGTTTTCTTGCCGATAAATATATTCATAAACAGACATATAAAAGTCAATTCGAGGTCATAACCAGTGAACATGGAATATTAAACAGAACGTGCTGAGAAAAAAATATGCAAAAAAAAAAAAAAAAAAAAAAAAAAATGCTTTCGTATATCCCCACTACTTAAAAGCTCCCGAATTAAAAATCCCGACAACACCGATCCATTCGAAGTTTCGAAATAATTAAAAATAAAACGAAAACAAATGAAGAATACGGATTAAAAAAAATCATCATAAAAGAAGCAGACCACTACCTGAGTGTCGAAGAGTCCCGCTGAGCGATTCTGGTAGCAAGTAGTCGCCCCGAGGGTGATGCCCCCTGGTAGGGGAGGAGAGGCAGGACCAGATCTGGGAACCGAACCCGCAGGGCGACTGCTGGCAGTGGCGAGGAGCTGCCGTGGGAAAACGTCTTAACGTCGGCAAGCTCACTTTTATTTAGGACTATTAGGATGGCGCCTTGCCACGAATAGGAAGTAAGATTTTATTTCTACGCCATTTTTTTGCGTTTCGTTTTTATTAGGCTTCTTCTCAAGTATCCGAAAACTGGGCAGCAAGGGGAGGGGGATTTGTAAATTCCTAGCCCCCTTTTCTTTCTTTCGTAATATGCAGAGGGAGGGGTGGACGATTTCTTGGTATTTTTTGTGTTTTTATGGCAATAATTGCGGAAGATTAATTTTCTTCCCCGAAAAACTTCTCTGGAGATTTTTTTTCTAGCATTATGCGCTGAGAAAAAGTTTTGTTTGTGAAGCTTCTTAGCCTAAGGATTTTTAAACCTAGTCTCATAATTATGTATGGATATGCATTTTTCCATTTTTGTTTAAAATTTAAACCATGAAGACAAATGAAAGCTGCCAGAAACATTTTACAGCATATTTGGTTTCAAGGAATTTTACCTCAAAATTAAATAAATTCAGTCTTGTGTGGCATGAATTCCGAGCATAGAAGGCTCTACACTAAAGGTACAAACTGTAGATTCTGCAATTAGTTCACAGTCGAGGGCACAGCCAGAGCTTGTGTCCCCCTGGGGGCTCTAAGAGTTCGCTGCCCTCTGAAAAAAGATATGAAATTTGTATATTAGTACTGTAGAGTCATTAGGTTATTCTTGAAGCAGAAGATATGGTGGTGTATTTAATTATGGCAAAGCACACTAGGGCTATCTGCCTAACAGGAGGGATGCCTTCGTGGAGGACTTTCTAAGGGAAACTGGCTCGTATACACGTTACACATGGGGAAAACCACGAAAACGCCCATGTAGCCCGCCCGTTCGCGGGACTCGAACCTCCGACCGAACTACCAGTGTTCAGGGGCTTTACCGCTCGGCCGCTGGTGGGCCTGCAGGAGACATGAAAAATGAGCAACACTCTCAGCGAGACTCGAACCTCTCGAATACGCGCCGAGTGTGCTGGCAATTACACCACAAAGGCATGCAGAAAGGAGGGGGAGAATACCTTATATATTCCCCCTTTTAAAAGGCGACTGGGGGTTAGGGGACCCAATCGCCAAAACCTGGTGGTGAAGAATCATCATCCATCGTCTTTAGTTCGGGCGCCACTGTAGTCATTACGTTATTTTTGAAACAGAAGACATGAAAAAGGAGCAATGCCCTCGCCGGGATTCGAACTTGGGTTCTTTCGAATGCGCGCTGAGTGTGCTGGCCATTACACCACGAAGGCATGCAGAAAAGAGGAGGAGAATACCTTACAGTATAATTTTTTACAATGACACAGAAATACTTCGTTTATCTCTAAAATCAACCAGCATTACAATTCATTTTAATGCCAGCATTCTAATATTCCATTCTGCTTATTTCACGCTATCAAAACTGTCAATAAACTTTTAGGAATCTCTATTTGCGACATGAATATGAGGCAGTTTCCCTTAGAGAATCCTTCACGAAGGCATGACTTCCTTAGGCAAACAGCAATCGCGTATTTTACAGTCTTCAAATAACCTGACCTAATATAACCTACATCACCAAAAAATTCGCAGTATTAATTAGTTACAGTATCCCAAACTGAGTTCCAGTCAATAGCATTACAATATTAGGAACTACATGTTAGAATAAATTACAAAAGACTAAAGGGACTAACTTCCACTAATTCTTCAGTTATCATCGCTTTCTACTTTCTGCCCGATTGTTCATGGTTAACCCTCATAAAATTATATCTCACTTAAAATTGCTGTCTGCAAAATTTGGGCCGCCCGGGGCACATAACCTTTCTGTTAATGCCATTGTTCATACCAAGATATGATATATAATACTAGAATCTTACAGCTGGGTGTTCTACTTTTTAAATATGTCATTCTTTCGAATCAACAACTGGAGAGTAATGTGTTTTGTCAAAAAGAATTTAAAAATACCAAACATTTAATGGAAGGTCTATTTATTTATCCCAAACGATACGGTGTTTCCTAAATGTTGATATCATTTAAAATCAGACGGTCACCGGAAACTAAAGCAGAGACAACACGAGTAAATTTTTTAATGAGTTCAGCTCATTAGTTATACATTAATCGAAAAAACTGCATATGCACTACGCTGACATTTGTTGACAAAAGACATCAGAAAAGCACAAAAGTGTGAAAATTTCAATCAAAATGACAGCTATTTGACAAATTGGGAGTCCATGGAATTGAAGATTTTCCCCCTATATGGTTTAGTCATGAATAAACTATTTAAAGAATTTCTAAGTCGCGTGTGAGATAGATGAGTCAAATACTATGTCAAATTCGATTAAACCATGACCTGCATTTTGTTGAATTAAATTCATTTGAGCGTTAATACTACAAGAATCGCATGTAAATCACAATTTTAAAAAAAAGCAGACGATTTTTTATTTCTCTCATGTTTTTAAAGAAATACGTTAATCCGGAAAGTGACTGGAATTTCGTAAACGCAGATAAAAAAAATAAATAAAAAATAAAATGTCATTCCTAGCTACTTCCTGTGTGATTGTAGTGCAATATATATAAAGAAGAACGTCTATTTGTTCGTAATTGATTCAGTCACTACTACAGCTATCGTCACCAAATTTATTCAATTCTTTTCTGGGTTCTAGAAAAGGTCGACGTCGACTTTTACCAAAAAAAAAAAAAAAAAAAGAAAGTAACCAAAATAAGAGATATTAATAAAAAAACTCGGAAAACGCTAATTTTCGACCTCATTTTTTCGAGTGGCAACATTCTCGCACGCTGGAGATAAGAATCTGCTTTCTTACGAGAAGTGTTGCCACTGCTCGCTTTCAAATCGTAGAGTTTGTTAATAAAAAAAATTTGTAAGTTTTACAAAATCTATATATATAAAGAAGAATATCTGTTTGTTTGTTCACGTTATTGATTTCTGATCAATTATGATCGATTTCGGATCAATTATGATCAAATTCTGCGACGTTTAATCGACTAAAATTGAGTATAAGTGAAATAATGGATGGAACTTGAGTTTTTACGACCATTCGATTGGATGACTAAAATCACTAAAAACTGCGTATCGTTGCTGATATAATGAGAGAGAATTAGCTTATTTTCTACGGAAATTTTTTATGTGAGTTTCATATCGCATCAGAGTAAAAAATGTATGACTATAAATCGCATATTTTGCAAGATTATTAGAGAAAGGATTACAGCGGTAACGTTCTCTCTGTTGTTAGATATATTACTGTCAACCTAACTTAACTGGCATCGGGTACTTCCGCTACTACATTATAAAAAAGGCTTGGTGTCTAGATTTGGATCCGATTTCATTAAATTTCAAAAATGCACTCAAATGTCTTTCAAATATTTATGAAGACACGTCTAGCTTTTTTAATTAAAGAAATTTAACATTTTGAAAGCTTGACTTTTGTACCGTATGGCACAGAAAAAGCCCATAAAAGCAACAACAGTTATTTATTAGAGGAAAATAAAATTCTTAATGCATATGCCAAGCATTGCTCATTAAAAATGGAAAAATGGGTTGGTATCTAGATTTGGATTCGATTCCATTTAAAAATCCGTTCGAATGTCTGGTAGAAGATGCTTCTAGTTTTCTTCGTCAACGAAATTTAACATTTCAATCTTGGACATTGAATTGTATGGCATAATTCGCGCGCCATGGCATAAGTGAATGCGTACACCATCGAAAAGAACCAACTATCGATATGCCATGATCTCAGTAATAATCATATCATAATCGAAGTTCGAAATATGTGTGTTTGTAGGACGGAAACTTTTATTCCAACCCTTAGAATTTCTGACGTAGAATTTGGCAGAAAGAGGTTAATTACAACACATATACTCTTAAAACGAAACTGAAATTATTAATTAATTAATTAATTAATTGTTTTCAGCTTTTTGAGGAAATATTTAACAAATGGCTTGCTAAAGAAGTTTTAAGGTTCTGAATAGATCATTCAACAAGTGGCATTTTTATGAAAAGACGACCAAGATCAAATAATTAAAAATACAAATCTTGTATTTGTTTAATTCAGGTCGAATAAGAATCTTCCAAGGACTAAGAATGAAAAATGACAAAACAAAAATCTTCAACAATCTAACTGCGAACAACTCCCCAAGCAGAGGGTAGTTATAAGCATCACTCAGTAGAGGACAATCCTTTGTTGGGTCACTGGGGTTTTTTAAGGTAGGAGACTTGGAAAATGTGCATTGCCTTCACCGGGATTTGAACCTTAGATCTCTCGAACACGCGTCGAGTATGCTACCAATTACACTACGAAAGCATGTATAAAAGAGGGAGAAAATACCTTATAACTTAACACATGAGTACACAGCCATTGTTTTGTCATAAATTATAAATGTATTCTAAATTCGAATCCTCCACGAAAATATTTTAAATTTTGCGTTCACATCAATTTACAGAATTTGGTCAATGTCCTTAAATACCATTCCTGTTTAATTTCCACGTAAGTATAAACAAACAAAAATTTTGCTCAACAAAGAATTAAATAGCAAATAATAAATAGCCGTGCAATTGCAAATAATAGCCGTGTAAAACTAAATATTTCTTTTTGTTAAAAAAAATTTTTTTGATAGACTTAAGACTTTTGATCGAATACATGTTTCAAATTGCAGTAACAAATGGTTTACGTCAGTTCTCAGGCGTTAAGTTCGACTGATTAAGTCAAACTGAAAGTTACTTTCAGCAAATATAATTAATTGACTGTTGATTGCGTTAAACGGAGATCTGATCACTCAACTTGAATTCATCACTCAAATAAAACTTCGTAATTTATTTTATCTGTTCAGAAAACAGACATATAAAAAATAAGTTATCAGTTTTAAAAATTCACCACATTCTATCAACTCAAATAAATAAATAAAGATTAAGCACATTCTATCAACTCAAAAATATTTTTAATAAATAAATAAATAAATAAATAAAGATTCAGCACATTCC